GTGTAATTAAAAAAAGAAACTGCATTAGTCTTTTTGAGCTAATCTTCTCTTTGGTTTGTTTTGTCTGCTTGACAAAGTTTTTCTATCTGATTATTGTGTTTAAAGCCTTTTTTTTTATCATGCATTTTGTAAAAAAAATAAAAATAAAATCCTTCCTTTAAGCACACAGACCATTTCTTCAAATGTTTATTAATGAATATTTCACTTTGAGGAGCTCAGTGAATTCCAGTTTGCTATCATGACAGGATGTGATCTGTACCAAAAAAATCCAGTTGTAGTGTTTCCTTAATATCCAGCTGTTATTGGTATGAGAACAACATTGATGCCAATGTGAACAGGAGTGGATAAACCAGTGATTTGCAGTATAAAGTTTAAGAGCAAGGCGAGTGGAGGATGTGAGCAGAGAGTTCTGCAGACCATGAGATTAGTCCAAACACAGTATGTAGAGACAGTCCACAGGGTTTCTGTGGCTAAGGAACTGCATTCCAGGCTCACATCCCAGAGTACATCTTAACAGAGGCGTAGCCAGAACATTTTTTTTTTATAAGGGTGGCCAGGCAATAACCAATGTAGACTGAGGGGTGGCCGAAAGTGGATAGGCGCCAGTACCTCAGGGTCAATCTACACTGTTCCAACAGGAAGGTTAACAAGCAAAACATTCTTTTTTTCTAAATAAAGACAAACTACAGTATATTGTCCTACAGCCTTTGCTAACAAGTAGATGCATATATTTAAACATCAGTTCTGTCTAAATAAAAGATGTAGTGGATAAAATTCTTTCAGTTTTGAGATCTGGGGCGTAAATCTTTTCCATCGTCATAACTTACCTACTTGTATCAATAAACATCCTGCTTAAAATGTATATTTACAAGCACTAATATCTACATACATTGATTATTTGATAAGTGTTTATTAAAATAGTTCTTTTAATCTATGATTTTACTGAATGTTTTGAATATTCCACTTAAGATGATTACTGCGGCCACCATCTGTATTAGAGGTGGCCAATGATTGGGTAAGGGTGGCCATGGCCACCCCTGGCCCCCCATCTAGCTCTGCCCCTGCATCCTAAAGCAGTGTGAAGCCATATGCCACTGGTTTTTAGGTGGTTTTAGAGGTTTATTTAAGAGTTCTAGTCAAATGACTGTTTAATGCTTCAATTTAATGCTTTGATCCATTTATGTCTCATAATTGTTGGAATAGATTAGTAATAACTCCTTCCTCTTCCATCCTGACAACACACCACTTAACAATGGAAGGTCTGGAAAAGTGTGGAGGGACCTAATTGGCCATTGTTTCCATTTCAACAACATAAATAGTCTCTTCTAAATGGCTTTTAGCCAAATAATACACTATTTATTTGTGGAACTAATATTTTTTGTTATAATAAAACACTATTTTTATAAACTACTAAGCACGAATGTCAAAGGCTTATTAAATGAATCATTTTCACACTAGAGCTATGGAGTGGGCGAATTTAAAAAGCCTGGGGGGCAAGAATGAAAATTTATACAAAGAATAAATGGAAATAAGTTATCTATAGGTCAACCTGCCCTTGACCCAGTTCATTTACACAATCTAAACCTATTTAATGCAATTTTTTCCTAGTTTCATCCCTTTCACACATATAAACTATGTTTTATAAATATATTTTTGTTGGGGTTTGGTATTGTCAAAGGTTCAGTTGTTTCTGAGTCCATGCTGAGGGTTTATGCCAGATCATCTGCAAAGTCTGAACTGGTAGATGTTCTTCAGGGCAGTGGAGTCCTGCTGGTCTGCAGTCTTCATCTCTCATCTTAGGCTACATGCTTTACAGATGGAGCTTAATCAGCTATAAGGTGTTGAGTGTCCACATGAGGTCATTGCTGATGTGGCCACCGAGATACTTACAATGTGCCTACGGAGAGTGTTTGGTATTGTGAACTGAAAGCTTTACTATACCCTATACTAAATGTAAGTAATGATATTTAATCCATTGCTGCATAGGGGTTACTACTGTGGATCACTTCTAAAAATTGTTTACTGCTATAACAGTTTTAATAGGGTATACAAAACCCTTTCAAAATATCAGGTTTTTGTGATCAAAAACTGACATTCGAATAACCCTTCAAAACTTTTTCTCTACACATTTTAATCAAAGAACAAACTTATTTAGAGGGTTAAAAATGATTGTTGAAAAAAGGGTCATTTTTAAAGGTTAGGTGAGAAAATATCACAAAGAAAGGATATGATGGTAAACTAAAAGGAAATTACAATAATCTGTTAAAATTACAATACTCTGGCTTGTTTCAAATAGCTATGTACACATTAAAAGCCATTCAAGTCTGTTCATTAGAATACTGTAAGGCTCCATATACTGCCACCTACTGACTCACGAGTGTAAGTTCATAAAAACAATCTGACTGAAAACATCTACTGCAGTCCTGAATATAGGAAAATGTGGGAAAAAATTGTTAGAATTTCAAAGTCAAATTATGTGAGTGACTTAATTATTTGTAGAAGAACTGAATTGTATGACTGACTGGTCTGCAGGTAATAGTCGGATAGCGGTGATGAATTAATGACACTGTCCATAAATGTCAGTGGAGTTGAGGATGTTAAAATACAAAAAAAATTCTTAGTTTGTTTTTAGCTGAACAAAATACATGGGGACCCAGTCTGCAAAGTCAAGTTTAAATGGCTGAATGGGGGAGTGCAGGAGATCATGTAGAAAACCAGCCTGACCAATCAGGGACACGGATGATATTTTTATTTTCCATCCCGTCAAAAATAAAGAATCCCCAATGGGGACATTGGGAATTCTTTATTCTCTCTTCTAGGGTAAATATTACAAAGGCAAATAAATAAAGAAGCTAATTAAGAGTTATATACATTTATGTCTCACTTTTTTGTTGGCAATTAATTGTATGCTTATACATTTATTGAGCATTTATTTATTTCTGTATTTATTTTTAAATATGGCAGAGTTGGTCCTTCATATACATCAGAATAATGCACAGTTAAAGACATACATACTCAAAATCTATCATCCCGAGTAAACGGGTACAAAGTATTTAGAACATTCTCAGAGAACGAGGAGGTCTGCTATATTATTTTCTGAAAGTCGAGAAAAAGGCATACAAATCTGAACGAGGTAATCCTAATTCATCCATGTGGGTTTTTTTCTAATTGTGTGCCACTTAATGCATAAAAAAATGTTTGCGCTCCTAACACATCACTTCTATAGACGATCTATGCAGCATTAATTAAAGCCTGTGGAACTTCCGATGTAATAACGTTTTATAACCGAGTGATACATCTTGTGTATACACGGTCTTCGGAGCCGGTGCTCCTCTCAGCTGACAGGGAGAAACAAACCAGAAGCCGCTGCTGCTGTTAAAGTCTTTAACCAGCCGGCGTTACAACCATAAATATCGCCTAAACATCGACGGTTTTTGCAGGATGGTATCCTGTTCAGGTTCAGCTCGCAAGCGATGAATGAAACGAGCGCCGAGGGGAGCGGACGGAGACCGGCGGAGGTTGTGTTAGCTTCGGGCTTCTCAGCCTTGCTTCTCGGGCTCATCAGAGGATGGAGCGCTGGTTGAGAGGGGATGGCAAGCCGTCCGTGTCCCGGTGTCTCCTCTCTGCTTTCTTCCTGTCGCTCCTCGCGGTGCAGGCGGGCTGCCACGGTACCTGCAGACACTCAGCCCCCTCCCGCAGTGAGGTGAGCCCCGGCTGAGGATGCTAACCTGTTAGCTCCGTGAGCAAATCAGCAGTCCTATGGCACGAGAAGTTCTTTTAGAGGACGCTGAACACCAATTACAGAGTAAATGTGCTTTTTAAAAAGTCACTTAATTGGAAACTTTCGTTTCTTTTCATCCTTTCTAAATGTGCTAAAAGGCTATGAAGCTAACATGAAGCTAATTGGTTTATCCGCTTAATTTATAATATAATTTATGTTTGTTTACCTAATTGCAGCAGGTAATTAAACACTTAAACACAATTTCATAACACTGAATATTAAATTTTATCCCAGCTTCTCCTAGCAACAGCGAAAAAAGTACGTCCGGGTTGAACTTTTCAAAATAAAAGCTGAATAAATAAGCCATATCTATCTATCTATCTATCTATCTATCTATCTATCTATCTATCTATCTATCTATGGAAACTTCAAAATAAAAGCACTACTGCTTGGTAGTTGAACATTGGAATGTTAGATGTAAAACAGCTAAGAAACAAAGATAAATGGAGATTATTGGTTTTACCAGCCCCCCACATATTGATAATTAGACAACATAATGACTCACTGCTTACTTTATTTCTGTTCTTAGGTTGTCCATCAAGTGTACTTGCGGCCTGAGCGGCTAACTAAGAGAAGTTCTCCTGACGATCTGCAGCTGAAGATAAAGATCATCTACGACAGCAGCGTAGATCAGTAAGTACAGCATCGGTTCATCAGATTTAGACATTAACTTTGTGCTTTGCAAATGTATTTATACATCTTGAAGTTGTTTTTATATGACAATCACAACATTTTTTTCTTAAGAGTCAATATTTATAAATAATTGGTAATAAGGGGTGTGCATTCATGATTACGTTCTAGAAAATGTTATTGAGAAATGGATAATAGGCTCCTGCATTGGTGAGGATTTGTTTTTAACATCTTCTATGTGGCTTAATTTGATTATGTTGGGGTGATTAAAAACATCACAAAACATAACTTTTTTGCAAGGAACATCTAATCTCTGTTTATGTGGCATGTCTAGCATTTCATTTTTCAGCCCATGGTGTAACACAGGTGAGTCCTCAGCAGGTTTAATAAAAGGCTGGCTATCAATCATTAGTGTCTTTAGACTAGGTTGAGCTTTTTAAAGTCCAACATTATTAATTCCTTCTTCTTTATTTTGGTATCATGTTGGTGGAGATACAGATTTTGAAAGTCTTATGGCCAAAATAACTCCACAAAATCAGGGCTTCTGACGATAATTGCTTGCGTTTCTTTTTTCTAAGGGAATGGGTTCAGAAGCCATGACCCTTCATATCTATATTTATTTAGGCCCTTCAGTTTGGTTTTAAACATTATAGCTAAAGTTGATATGCAAGTGGTTTGATGATGATCTTATCTGTTACTCTGTTTTTCACAAGCAAAAATACACCAATGGTGGTTATAGACAGCATGCACTATACATTTATTATTATTATTATTATTATTTTTATTAATTAATAAGAAAGTGATTAAAATTGCTTAATTCTGATAAAGTAGGTTAACTTTCATTATATCAAACCTTTTATTAATTAAAAACCAAAAATGTGTCTATTTAACCACAAGCATTCTATTCAGGGATTTAGGTATATTTTCTTTTCCCTTTGCTGTTAAAGACTGAGATGGTTATTTTGTTTAAAAAGAAAATCTGCTTCTCTTTCATTGAATTGAAATAATTTTTTTTTTGCTCAACATTTAATTAGAGCATGTGTAGTTTTTGGTAGTTTTGATGCATTTTTGTAACAAAAAGCACAAAAATGTTGCTTTGGACGTTAGAGGTGGCCAACTCCTGATGTCAGAGCATGCTGAATAAATGTCACCCTTATCACACTTTTATATGTAAAAATTAAATGAAACAATTTAATTATGAAATCCATGTATCTTGCCTTTTTTTTTGTTGTTAAATCAAATAAGATCCCATGAAGTTATGCTGATATTAGGCTGTGCAGCAGCAGAGCGGAGCCTTATGCATAGAGACATGGCCATTTGGATTTTAATGCCCTCTGACCTTTTCTACATGTCTTCCCTCCTGCTCTTTCTTCCATCTCCCACTGATAATTATCAATAAACCTTACTGTTACTATCAAGTCTCAAAAAGTAAAAAATAAATCAGTTTGCGACTAATACAGTAATGCTAAATTCAGAATATATTAATAGTTTTGCAAGGCACCTTACAGGTGAACACAACCACCTAGTTCATCAGCAGAAGACAAAGATCCTTGAACTTTCATGAGGCCGATTTAAGATTAGATTTAGATTGCGGTTCGAACTGCTCGCATAAACCAAATGAAAGAGATTTTCCTGTCCGTTAACCTACTTCTCTCTGTCTTTACAGACTTACTGCTGACAAACGAAGACTGGTGAAGGTGTGTTTCTATACTCATATATACTGAACGATATGGGGGGGGGGGTTTGCTATGGATTGAACTTTGTTCAATTATTTGTGAAAGAAAAATTGTAAAAGAAAAAAAAATTCAGACTAGAAATGTTATTCTTTCAAATTAGTTTATTTTTTTAAAACCATTAGGACTTATTTTAATGGATTGCTCTTCAAATTGCATTTTCCAGATCACATTCTCTTCACCTCTTTCCTCTGGAGTGAAGAGCAAAGAAGCATTTCTAATGCTCTGCCGAGATATCTTATATTCGTCAACATAATAGTAAATTTCTCCACTGTGAGATCAATAAAGTCAGTCAATGTGTGCATAAAAAGCATGTGTTATTATAGAGCCTGAGGGTTGCTTTGGCTCTGCTGGTCACTGCGATTCAAGTCTTTCCCCTGTCTAGTCTAAAAAATTGGCCCCGAGGGTGTAAATAGTTCTTGGTATGAAGAAAACATCAGATCTCTGAGTCACAGTTGCTTCTTTTAATCCTTTGAACAAACACCAGCATGGTTTCATCTTGGCCTGATGATATGATCCAGAGTCAGATGAGGTGTTACTGCTATATTTGGATGGAAAATTGTCCACCAGCAGTGACTTTTAGATGGTTATAACCATCCAGCATTGTTATCAACATAATGACCCATCGAACTCTTTGGGTATTTGATTTTTTTTTTTCTTTTTTCTGGGCAGTTTTTATTTTTTTGCTCTATTTTGTTTGGCTCCTGGATAGATGATAAAGTAGCTTCTGCACAAGCTAATAGATATTTTTCTGGACTGTATGATGTAACTAACTGCAAATGCCTGTAAATCATAAGAAAAAGGATAGCCTCAGTCAGCCTCATGCTTTTACTGTGCGTGTCTCACCAGGACAAGCTGTTTCCTCAGGCCATTGACTACCTTCAGAGGGCTTTCAGCGTGAGGCGCAGGGTGGGACCCGTGCTGCTCAGCAGGTCTGTCCCCACCTCCAGCTACCAGCTTGATTATTTAAACAACATTCATATTCTTTAGATAGATGAGCAGGGGGAAAAAAACACTGTTTTCTTCAGAACATTTGGAAATACATGGGAATTCCAATAACGCTGTGACATTTTATGAGCCTCTGCCTGTCTACTGCTAATCTCTTCTCAGGCAATGTGCAACCAACCAGTATATGAGGAAGAGAGGTGACCCCCATCGATACTGCCAGGATGCCTGCGCAGACGTCACCCGCTGTGGTCCTGTCGTCGTACCACAGCACCACCTGCAGGTCAGAAACTACGGCCTGATGTCCCATGTCCTTCTCTGGGCTTTTCATCTAGAGCTAAATAATGATGTCAAACGTTGTGCTAATAATTATCTAGTCATTTAGTTCCTCCTGGTAATTCTTTTGGTTATTAAGGAAAAAAATATTTCAAAGCCACCATTAGAGCTAATGCAACTTATCTTAGTTCCAGTTAAAGACGAGCTACTTAACTAATGGGATAAGAGGGCTTACTTCTCCTAATCGGAAAATCCCTGGTTAGCCGACGGAAAAGACCTTTTCCATTCATTTGCTATATCAGGCTTTTTTTTTACCTGTCTGTCATTGACAGCTGCAGAAAGGGTCATTAACTGTATTTTAGGTGGCTTGACCAATCATGGATGATCTTAAAATGTTATGAGAATAATTAGTGGTACTTTGAGTGTAAAAAATACGAGAGGACTTTACATAAAAAGAGGATAGTCTGATATGCTGTCAGACTATTTGACAATTTATTTCATTGAAGTGGATGCTAAAGGGCTGGTTATCCTCCGGCAGCAGTGTGTCGCAGTGAGCTTGTCGCAGATATTTTTGATTTATGCCCAATATTGAAGCGTGGTCTGCGCTATGTTATTCCACGCCACTACGCAAGAGGAACAATCACAAACAAGCTACAAGCTGTGGTTATAGGTACGGCTGAGGTGGTGAGGAAGTGGGGGCAAGTTTGTGCAACAACGGAGGGACATGAGGGTGAAAAAGAGCGGGGACCAAGGTGGAAAAAGGGTTCTAGCATTCTCGTGCACCTCGCTCTTCTAGCTGGTCCATCATCATGAGTCGTTTTCCACAATGGTGGTCATACAAACAAAAAAAGCCAGTAATTTACCAAACAGGAAATATGCATAGTGTAGAGGCCTCCTGTCTGCGGTACTGTCTGTAGTCACCTACAATTTTGGAGAGCACCAGAGTGTCTGCGGAAGGGGCGGGGTCACATTTGTGTTCAATGCGACACACGCAGATTACCTGGTTTCTGAGTATAAATCAGCCTTAACTGTGATATAGCTCTCTGTTTTTAGTGTAATCCAGTAATCAGTGCTGAAAGGGACTTGCTGCTTCTAGAAGCTTCTTTAAACAGGTGGTTCTGGTTGCTCTCAGGGGAATATTAAAACTCGTCACTGTGAAGCGTGCTAAATTACAAAAGTCTTCTCCAACTACCGAACCAGTTGCAAGCACGTCTCCGTCTATCATGTTACAAACATTTTACATAACGCCGTTAGATTTCCAGTCATCAGATCGTTACCTTCAGAGCGAGACAGAGAAGTTGCGCTGCTCCACCATGATGCACAGTTAAATGAGCGCTGGTTACTGTGGTAACATAACGAGTTGATCCACAAGTAGGCAGAACCACATGAAGTTCATTCTGTATCCTTGGCGCAATTAAAATTTGTAAGTAATCACATACTGGACTCTGAATGCATTTATGTGTCTGTCTTTGCTCTGGCATTACTTCTCTTGCAAATACCAGTAATGGTGAGTTCACACGGAAAAGTGGTCAAAAGTGCTTAGAAACCAAAATTTGGACGCTGGATCAAACGCTGGCCAACTTGCTTTGATGCTTCAATGCTCTGTGATCTGGTTGCTTTTCTGCTCTGTTCTGTAACTATTAGCTAGATAGCAGCTTGGCTTTATTTACTTTATGAGTTGGAAAACTGAGTTTTAACAGAAAGTAGACCTCAAAACGTCTTCTGTGCAGTCACTTCATCAGGATTATGATCCTACTAAAATATGCAGTTCTTGTTCGCAGTGCCAGACATCCAGCAAAGCGCCGGCCAGCAGTGCTGGGAATCCCTGCTGAAAGCTTTCTGTTGTAAGAGTTTTTGAAAGAGTTTTTAAGGTTTGTGGTAAACACAGCAAGTACCAGAATATACTATTGAATATACTCGTTGGCAGGCGTTAACATGTTTAGTTAATTTGGGTAATTTTTAAAATGCGGCAAAGGTCAAAGTTGAGCTTTTGGATGCTTGGACACTCGTTTGCGCCGCTCCTAATGCTAGGATGCACAATTGGACCTCTCAATGCCGCCCCCTGTAGACTTTGCATGTGAATCAGATGCTTTGATGCCCAAAAGTCATTCGGTTTGTTCGGTGTGAATGCTCCATAAGGCTCTGCTTAAGAATGAGAGGTGCCCTCTACTGGATGGTGGCAACACTACAACACTGAAATGAATTTCTTTTAAGCTGACATTATTGGTTAATCCATCAGAACAAGTTTTAATCTAATAAACCATTAATTAATGATTAACTGTAAGTCGATTATTTGTTTACATCCCCGTTATTAACTCAACTGAACTCTATCACAGGTTCAGCAGCGCTGGTTAACATTTGTAAAAAAAAAAATTTTTAAATGAAGTAAAAACCTGATAAAAACCTCTGGAAGAATCTTATCTTTGCAATGAAGAATTTTTTATTCATATTGTGGAAAGTCTGTTTGAAAACTAATTTGTTTGTTTTGTCAAATTGCTGGATCCCACAGCCTTACTGAATCTCCACCCTGCTTAGTAGAAGGAATGAGGGGCTTCTACCACGTATTAATTCCTTGTTACATTTCTTTCTCAGCAATGTAAGGTGTGCAGTGAGTCTGGGAAGTCGTGCGGCCCAACGGGAGCCCCGGATGGGCCCGGGGTGGACGGATCAGACTTCGTTCTCTATGTCAGCGGCATCACCACAGAGCGCTGCGGACAGGAGAACATAGTGGCCTACGCTGCCTACTGCCAGCTGGAGGCAGAGCTGGACAGGTGAGGGGGAAACTCAGAGCAGTAAATGGTAACATCAGTCCAGGAGTAAAGAAACACCTAAATGTTGTGATTCAGAACAGACGACCCAGTATTCAGTCAGGACAGGCAGTGGGATTACTAAAAAAGCATTTATTATGAAACTGATGGACTGCAGATCTACAGTAACAGTTGCTAGGGTGTCTGAGGCAGAAAACTCTGGAGAGAGGAAACACAGGTTAGTGACCACGTAAATCTAACGGAGGAAGATTATGAATGCGAGTCAGTAACCTGGTTTACAAGTTCAGTCCATAATCACAGAACAAGCTAAGATCCAGCCGGTGGGCTGCCAGCAAGATGCGGCGGGCGACGCCCAGAGTGTCCAGATGCTGCAGCCCCAGAGAACATGCAGGAGTCCGAAGCCAGGTCAGGCAAACAGATCAGAACAGGAACAGGCAAGCTCAGTGGTTAAGAGGCAAAACAAGGTCAGGTAATCAGAACCACTAAGGAGAGCTAAAAACACTCTCACCACTGGCTGGATAGGGCAAGAATAATCTGGACTTGATGACTGGATACAAGCAGCTTTAATAGAGGCAGGAGCTGGTGGATCAGATAAGCAGTGATTAGAAACCATGCAGAGTTAGACAGGTGAATGAAAATTAAGCCAGTCATTAGCACCAAGATCATGACACTAAGTATTACTATGTGTGTGTGTGTGTGTGTGTGTGTGTGTGTGTGTTTTAGGCCTATAGCAGGTTATGCCAACCTGTGTCCTGCCATGATCTCCTCTCAGCCTCAGGAGTTTGAAGGGATGCTCTCCACTGTCAAACATGAGATCATCCATGCTCTGGTAAGAATAGTTTATCCTTCAGGGATTGCCCACCTGACTTTGATTTTTTACTTTGTTTCTTACTTAACAAGAAAGCTAGTATGGACTTGTGTTCTCGCCAAATACGTTCTTGACAAGAACACAGGAAAGTATGGACTCGGGGAGACTGGGGCATACAGAATGAATCTGGGTGGATCGGAACAGAAGGGTACTCGTGACGTCACCACACGCTCGGCTCGTCTGGAGCTGCGTTTCACCTCCTGTTAAAGGAATAGTACACCCAAAACATGATTAGCCTTAATTTTCTACTCACCCCCATGCTGAACAACACTCTGGAGTACTTTTTTGATATCTCAAATGCATCTGGAGATCTGGGAGGCTTCTTGCTGTCTGCTGACATTCAAATGGATGTCTATGGTGCCCGAGGCAGAAAGGTCCATAAAAGTCCACAAAAAACGTGTCAATATTCCTCCATACTGCTCGTAGCGTCCATAATTTACTCGAAACAAAGTCATTTAGAATGTTTTTAGAGCATAAACTGTAG